GGAGAGAAGAAGAAGAAGAAGAAGAAGAAGAAGAAGAAGAAGAAGAAGAAGAAAAAGAAGAAGATGGCGGCGGCAGCAGGGCGGTAGGGTATGGGGGCGGCGGCGGCAGGGAGGGAGGTGTGGCGGTCCAAGAAGAAGAAGAAGAAGAAGAAGAAGAAGAAGAAGAAGATGGGTGGAGGAGGAGGAGAGAAGAGGAAGGAGAATAAGATGAGGGGGAGGCGGAGGAGGAGAGAAGAAGAAGAAGAAGACGAAGAAGAAGAAGAAGAAGAAGAAGAAGAAGAAGACGAAGACGAAGACGAAGAAGAAGAAGATGGCGGCGGCTGCAGGGCGGTAGGGTATGGTGGCGGGGTATGGTGGCGGGCTGCAACGGTGGTCCTTCAAGAAGAAGAAGAAGATGGGCAGAAGAAGAGGAGGAGGAGAGAAGAGGAAGGAGAAGAAAATGAGGGGGAGGCGGGGGAGGAGAGAAGAAGAGGAAGAAGAAGAAGAAGAAGAGATGACGACCGGAGCAGTTTTTTTTTTTCCTTCTTACCTGTCATTTATCTCGCGACCTATCGCTGACGAATGGAACAACAAAAAAAAAAGAAAAAGAAGATAGTGGGAAGAGAAGGAGAAGAAGAAGAAGAAGAAGAAGAAGAAGAAGAAGAAGAAGAAGATGGTGAGAGGGGGACGACCGATGGGCGACTCCACGACGCTGGCGACGGGCAACGGGCGACTCCACGACGACGGGGGAGTGTAGCTCCCAGGCGATGGCGACAACGGGCAGCAGGAGGAGCGAGGGCGGATGAACCTCGAACGCAGGCGGCAGGGGAAAACCAAGGCCCTGTTTGGACAGCCGATGCAGGCCGCCCCAGCCAGTCGGTTGTTCAAAAGAGGCCTCGTTTTTCCCTCCAAAAATCAAACGGCCATCTGGCCGTCGATCATGGATGATCGACGGCCGGAGGGCCGTCACAAATTCAAAAAAAAAAACTGGCCTCATGGGCCTGGTCGGACCCGGTAGGCCCTGAGGATGCCACAACTCGGCTATTCGGGGTCGGAACCCCTGCTGGGGGTGCCCGGCCCCCAACCGGGCCGCCCGCCCGGCCAGGCCGCCCGGGACCTCCCCCGGGCAGGCGCTGGGTTTCCGGGCGGCCTGGATCCGTACTCAGAGTATTCCCCAGCTTATAACACGAAGTTTGTCCTTTTGCTGCC